ACGATCCTCAAAAAGCCCGGCCATTGTCTTCTTTATTTCTCTCTAGAGACGCATATCATGCAGCGACCACAGCAACACTGCCCCCACAGTTTCTGGTGGTGCTGTTTCGTCCCCAAACTTAAAGGATAGGTGCAGAAATAGGAAAAAACGAAAAGAACGCGAAGCACGAACAGAGAGCTCCATATGTAACATTGAGCAAAAATGAGCCTTAAGAAGGAAATTAGTGTCATACATGAGCCAATAAGCCTTTTAGCTGATGCTTTACCCTTACAAAGGCTTTGTCTTCCAGGATACAACCTCCAAGATACATCCAGATCAGATCATTCAAAACAAGTCCATTTTTAGGGCGTAATAAGTGCATTTAAATTTATTTATTGTGGTGAGACGCCTCCTTCTCTTGTTTTATTTTGGCTGGACTTCCTGTGTTTCCTTGTTTGCCTGGTCTGGCTTTACTCTCTTCCAGAGCTTGCTCCCCTCCCCCGGTCGCTGAGGCTGAGTGAGACTACACACCTGCTCCACATCTCCAATCAAGGCACTTTAAGAAGCCTGCAGCCCTCAGTCTCAGCGCCTGAGTATTGTCTTCACTTCCATGTGGTATAGACGCGTCTCCTGGCCTCCTCTCTTTGAATTTGAAATCGTAACGCTGATTCTGATTCATTGTATGTTTACTTACCTCCCTCTCCTCTGGTTTTTCCCGCAGTGTCTCCAGCCCGCACAACAGCCAGCCAACCAGCCTACCGGACTTCCTCTTTTTGCATTTACAACCCTTGTTTGGACAGTAATTTACACTTTAAGTTGATCTCTGTCTCCGTGTCTGCTTCTGGGTCCTCACAACTCACCAGCCACACCACATTTATCTTTGATCAAAACTTTGATTCTCAGATTCTAATGCATATACATTAAAGCCACAGCCCAGCTTTCAGAATCATGTCCTGCATTCTCAGACTTATCTCTCCTGTAAATGAGTTGTTCTGGAAAATATTAGAGGTCAGGGGGACTAATTTATCAACATTGCCTAGAAAGGGTTCTAAGTTCTGGCAAAGGAATGAAATTTACAATGTGCGTACGTACAAAAAAATCTGTATTTATGAAAGATGCAGACACCGGTCATGCTCACACTCGTAAGTAATCAGTGATGATAAATCCCACCTGTTCTAAATCACAGTGTTAATGCATGGTTATGGTGATTTGCATTCAGAAACACCTCCAATTGACTGTATATGGTCTCAACAATCCCTTTAATAATGCATTGATGGAAGCCCGGATCTCCACCGGCAGCTCTACACCTCCACCCGGACATCGCCCTCCCGCCTTGTCTGAGGTACATCCACCATGGGTCTCAGTGGGGTTTCCACTCTGGCGGTTCCAAGGGGATTACCTCTTTCTGGTCCTCCACTCGCCGCCCACACAGAAACACTGGCCGGTCTGTGGACCACAGGGTGTTAGCCGACCTGGCTAGGTTTGCTAGCACTTCCCACAACATCACAGACGTCAGCTTCGGTCTGCTTAACATCAGATCCCTCTCCGGTAAAGGACATCTCATCCAAGATATCCTCATTGACCGTAAGTTGGACTTTTTATGCTTAAATGAGACGTGGCAAGTCCCTGGTTACTTCTCGCAGTTAAATGACTCCTCTCCGGCGGGGTTTGTTTACATCTGCAAACCTCATGAGTTGGGTCGTGGGGGAGGTCTTGCGATATTCTATCGCGAGAAGTGGAAGGTCCTGCCCGTTCCTGTGCCTCCTCTCTCCTCACTGGAATGCCTGGCGTGTCAGCTACCTGGACCTGTCCCCACAATCATCGCCACAATTTACCGTCCTCCCAAACCTCACAGTGACTTTTTAAATGAATTTTCTGTCCTCCCTACTCACCTCGCCAGTCTCTCACCCAATATAATTCTGCTTGGAGATTTCAATATCCACATGGACAATCCTACCCTACCCCTTACCATGGACTTTCTTTACTACTCAACAGCTTCGGTTTTCAACAGTTTGCAGATTTCCCTACACTCATCAAAGGCTACACAATAGACTTAATTTGCTACTCAGGTCTCACCCCCTCCAACTGTACCACTGACACATTACACATTACGGACCACTCCCTCCTCTCATTCAACGTCATTCTTCAGCTCTCCATCTCCAAAGCCCCCTGCATCATCTCATACCGCAACATTAAGGATATCAACTTGGACTCCCTTTCCTCCTACATCACCGCCCTCACCCTGAACCCCACTTCCACCCCTGATGATCTCGTCACACAATATAACAATGGACTGTCCAACATACTCAACTCACTTGCTCCTGTCAAATCCCGCTCTGTCTCCTTTACCCGGTCCACACCTTGGTTTACCCCCCATCTCCGTTCCATGAAATCCAAAAATCCAGCTAGAAAGACTTTTCAGGAAAACCAGTCTCACAATCCACAAAGACTTCTTTATAACTCAGCTGTCTCTCTATAAGGACTCCATTTCTCATGCCAAATCACAATACTACTCTGGACTTATCTGCTCTAATGCTGGAAACACCAAGTCTCTTTTCTCTGTTTACAACCGTATCATTCAACCCCCGGACTGCTTTCCTCCCCACATGTATTCATCAGACACCTGCGACTCTCTCCTCAGTTTTTTTAATGACAAAATCCGTAAAATCCACCAGAACCTGGGCTCCACATCCTCACCACTTCCCTCCTCTAAACTTCTCCCTCCTTTCCAACCTTTCTCCACCTTTGTACTCCCTAACCCCTCAGAAATCTCCAACCTCATAACCAAATCTAAACCTTCATCCTGCCAGCTAGACCCCCTCCCCACTCCTCTGGTCAAATCCTGTCTGCCCTCTCTGCTCCCCCACATCTCAGTCATCATCCACTCCTCTCTGTCGACTGGAACTGTTCCCACCCCCTTCAAATCTGTAGCCATCAGTCCCACCCTGAAAAAACTTGATTCAGACCCCAACGACTTCAATAACCTCCGCCCCATTTCCCACCTCCCCTTCATTTCCAAAATTCTAGAAAAAACTGTAGCCTCTGAACTCCACACCCATCTCACTCACAATAGCCTCTACGAACAGATCCAGTCCGGTTTCTGTCCCCTCCATAGCACTGAAACAGCCCTCATCAAAATCACCAACGACCTCCTCATGGCAGCTGACTCCGGTTTGATCTCCATCCTCATTCTCCTTGAGCTGAGTGTGGCTTTTGACAACCTTCTCTCATCCCATCCTCCTCCATAGACTCTCCTCCATAGGTATCACTCACACCCCCCTTCTCTGGTCTCACTCATACCTCACTGACCGCACTCAGTTCATCCAACTCAAATCCTTCACCTCACAGCCTTCCCTCGTCACTTCAGGTGTGCCCCAGGGTCCTGTCCTCGGGCCCCTCCTCTTCATTATCTATCTCCTTCCCCTTGGCAGCATCTTCGGTAAATTTGGTATACACTTAAATTGCTTCGCGGATGACACCCAGCTCTACCTCTCCAGCAAACCAGACGCCTCTCTTCCACCCTCCTCCCTCACCCACTGCCTCTCAGAAATTAAATCCTGATTCATGTCAAACTTCCTCAAACTCAACTTCAATAAAACAGAACTCCTCCTGGTCAGTACCAAGTCCACTCTTTCCAAAGCTGACAGTTTCGCCCTCACCATAGACACCTCCACAGTGTCTCCCTCCCCTCAGGTTAAGTAAGAGTCTGGGTGTCATCCTCGACAGCTCACTATCTTTCCACTCTCACATCAGTAACATCACCTGGTCTGCATACTCCCACCTACGTAACGTTAACCGTCTCCACCCATCACTCACTCCTCACTCCACGTCACTCCACAGCTATCCTGGTCCACAGACTTGTTACCTCCTGTATTGACTACTGCAACTCACTCCTCCTCGGTGCCCCTCACAAATCCCTCTATAAACTTCAACTTGTCCAAAACTCTGCAGCCTGTATCATCACCAGAACCCCCTCCTTTCACCACATCACCCCTGTCCTCCAGCAGCTTCACTGGCTTCCTATCAGGTCCGGAATCCACTTTAAAATCCTACTGTACACTTTCAAGGCCATTCATAACCTTGCCCCCCCCCACCTCTCCGATCTCCTCCACATATCCACCCCCTCACACTCCCTCAGATCCTCCTCCTCCCTCCACCTCTCTGTGCCCTCTGCTCGGCTCAGCACCATGGGGAGCAGGGCTTTCAGTCGCTCTGCTCCCAAACTCTGGAACTCTCTCCCCCCAGATCTCAGAAACATGGACTTACTACCCCACTTCAAATCAAAACTCAAAACACATCTGTTTCAAATTGCATATTCTCTCTAAATGTCCACCTTCATACTTCTATGTTGGTTTTATTTATTTTAATTGTGCTTCTAACCGTGTTTTCAATGCCCTGTACAGTGTCCTTGAGTGTCTAGAAAGGCGCTTTTAAATAAAATGTATTATTATTATTATTGTCTGATGGCTAAATTATGCAGCACACAGCAAGCCTAGATGATGTGGCAGACTTTTTTAGGCATATACTGAAGTGTTCCCCCCGCGCTGGACAGGCGCAGCCATTGGCCTTTTAGCAGGCCTATTGCACATTCAACTGCCGTTCTTGAGTGCACATGGGCCTGGTCGTAGTCAGGCCCGGATTAAACCTTCTGTGGCCCTGAGGCTAAGCAAACCTAATGGCCCCCCTCTGTCCCACGCGCAAAAAATTGGGAGTTTTTATTGGTCATTTTGTGGAAATTACTGCAATTATGGGTGGTTATTTAACGATTCCACTAGCCACCACTTCTAGCCAAACCACTGGGTTAATACAACTGTGTGTCTGAAATCAATTCAACAAGAGGTAGTGAAAAAAGTCTTCAAGGAAAGCACAGAGGCTGGTGTACAGTTCACTTTTTTACTGTAGAAAACCTCAGTCATTTTAAATTATAAGTATATAGCAAGCATTATAAATAAAAGTGCAAGGCATGATATGAAGGCCTGTTATGGTTATACAATGCCATCAGTGCAATAAATAAAATACAGATATGCCAGAGAAACCAATACAAAAACAATAATAAAGTCAAAAACAGTGCGGCATGTTTTGGCATGCCACTGGTCCAGTCTTAATCCAATAATGTCTGGCTTCCTAAATAAACACAGCAGGCCAGTACCCAGGGTCTTTGCTGTAGATTGCCCCATTGTCTGCTGTACCTGCTGCTGGCTCCTCAACATCAATGTCACTACCATTGTCTCTCTCTGGTGGTTCTGTGACGGCTGCTACACAAGCAGATGTGCTGGGTGGTCCCTTGGTTGGGTCAATCACACCGTCATTTTCTGATAAATAAGTAGGCTAGTCAGTCTCAAGATATAAATATATGATGACGCAAATATAGGCTATAGGCTAATTAGAACATGGCCATATTACTTACTTTGGCCACATCGGATATTCGCCTCTGCGTCCGATTCGGAGGAGGGGGAGGAGGGAGACGAGTCCCCGGGGCCCGGAGGGGCCGACGCCGTCGCTAGCAAAGTTTTTGTTGTGAAGTAGGTGGTCAGACGAGGCATGCTTTCCCGGAGCTTAGCCTCTCGCTTCACCTTCTCGTTTTTTTCCGCCGCTGCCAGACATGGCGAAAACTTCGTGTCGCTCTCTCTAATTAACCTGCTGCTGTTGCTGTGTGCTGCATCCTCCTCACACCGGGCGCAGCTCATCAGCATCATAGCGGCTTCTGCTCAGGCTGAGTGGCCCCCCATAGCCAAACGCCCTAAGGCTTCAGCCTCACTATGCCTCATGGTTAATCCGGCTCTGGTTGTAGTACTGCTCCTTGGACACACCCACAGAGCTGTTCTGCAGAATGAATGAGTCATGTGTTCCTCCTGGCCACTGGGCAACAACGTTTAACAGATACATATGTGCATCGCAGATAATTTGTGCATTGATTGAATGAAATCCTTTCCTGTTGACAAAATTGAATTCATTTTGTGAAGGTGCTTTCATTGCGTTCTGGATGCAATCTATGGCTCCAATTATGTTTGGGAATCCGGCAATGGCGCAAAATCCTCATTTTATTTCGGCTTGTTGGTGATGTGTGTATGGGAACTGGATGTAAGTTGAGGCCAGAGAAATTATTGCATCCAACACTGCTGGCATGATTCTGCTCAGTGTTGGCTGAAAAATGCCGTATATGTCTCCGATCTTGCTGGATGTGCACTGGGATGGCTTTGGTGCGTTTTGTCTCTCTCCCTAACATGGGTTGTAAATTACGACATAAATCGTTTAAAATATTTTTGGGAAAGCGGTACCTGCCAACAGATCAGTACAGTCTTTGAAAACGGGCTCACTGCAGAGCATACGGTTCTCTAAGTCCCCCAATAGCACAAAATAAGCCACGATACTTGTATTTGTAGTTGTAAGACTTCTTTTGAGGTTGCCCTGTCACAGCTGTCTTTTATAGCTTGTCAAACCAATTATTCAAAATGTCTGCTACATTTTTCATTGATTATTTAATCAATTGATTTCATTAATTAGAAGCAACAGGGAACGTGTGAAATTTGAGATTGCTGAATGCTGTGACTCCTTTAATGGGTTCTATTTGTAGTTTCACTGTTCTACCACTAGATTTTGTGTGCAAGCACGGTCAGAGTTCTGCTTAAATGTACGTACATTCCTAAGCACAAGTACAGGTTGATAATTTCCACACTTTGCACGGGAATGTTCATACACACTCATTATGCACACATCCTTGCGTACGCATGGTTGATAAATGAGGCCCCTGGTCTTTTAAAAATTCCTAAAAGTTATGCGGACTCCATGTGTGGCATGTGATCTTTATCCAAAATGCTGAGGTTTGAAAACTGACAGACCTAAATAATAACTCTTATGATCAAGTTGTTCTGGAGCCTGAACATGATAAATGCTTATCTTAACATAGATTATATTTCAGCCAAACTGAAGCAGCATTTTAAGTGCTTTTGCTGTCACCTGTCCTCTATTCTCTGGGTCTGCTGTGCTCATGAGTGAGACAGAGCTGAAGTGGGGTGAAGGAGATTGGGTAAGGTTGCCTGCCAGCCCTCTCCTCTCACTCTCTCTTCTCCCCTCACCCAACCTTTCTCTGAAACCCAGGAGAGCTGAAAGTCCAGCTGGCATGGAGCCCAGGCTGTGCCCCCACCCCCTCAGACCACAACCACAAACATCATATCCAGGTCAACACACAACTGTGACAAGAATGAAGCACAAAAAGAAAACCTGATTCTGTTTTGCTTTGAGAATTCTTGTAAACAGGATAGTAGAACACACACACACACACACACACACACACACACACGTACCTCAGTGAAAGAAGTTGAGCCATTTGTTTTGTGTAAATTTACTAAATGATTGCAGGCAGCTAGTATCCCCCCTTAAAGTCCCACTTGGGTCATGTTTTTTTACTTCTTAAAGTGTTCTGAATGGTTGTTCCGTTGTGATTATTACGTTTTTAGCCAAAATCTCGTTTCCTGTGTCATTTTCAAGGGCTTTTCTTCTGCAGAGCTCCAGATGCTCATTAGCAATTCACCTCTGAAACGTGGGCGGAGACAGCGCTGCTCTGTACACTCCTCTTCACACTAGCTTGTAGCCTAACATTGTCAGTGTAGTAGAAGAAGCAGGTAATACAGAAGCTATTCAGCTCTCAGACACTAATGTTTTTGAGGACATGATGAAAGTTAATATCAAAATTAGCTTTCTTATGAGCATTGCAATCCACTAACAGACACACCTGTTCCACGATCATCCTCTCTATTTCTCTGAGTCTGGTCTGCATAGCGGGGCTCCGGGGTGGAGCTTGCAACTGTGACGTGGGAAATCTCACTGTATCTGAACCTGCCGTTTGGGTCTGTGAGAGATTCACAGCGATTTGAATGCAGAAATACTCAAAAATGCAAATTCACTCGTGTTTTTCCCATGATATGCCCTGAAGCATCAGAAAAATGTCATATGAACACGTAGACAACTAGAAAAGTGGGTCTTGAAATTATTTTCAGAAGTTATTTTTTCTCATGAATTCACAGTTAAATTCTTTGTTGATTGAGAAATTATTTTACTTCATTTTTATATTTTTTCCTTATAAATTTAATTTATTTGAATTAATGACTTCATTCTCGGAATCTGAAGTTTTTGTATCTTTTATGGGGCCCTGGTCCTTTTATTGATCTTGATATAAAAGACAGCACTCAGTGTTTGAACATAAAAAGAAAAAAGGAGCGATAACAAGTTGTTGGTCTACCTCTTTTGTCTGCAACTCCCACAGCTGACCGACAAAGGGGTTGTTTTTCATCAACGAAACATTAATGTTTCACTCTGTTTCAAGAAGATAAATGTTAAAGTTGCTTAAATGTATGGTAAAACTAATCAAAAGATCAGCCTCTCAACACGCTAATAAAAAATTATTAATAAGTAAACACAAATGCCCTGTGGTTGACAAGATTAGCACTTGGCTATTTGCACATTTAAATTAAATTCAGTTCTTAAAAAATCATGTGGTCTGCTAATGTGTCACTCTGGTTTTCTGCTGTTGAGCCAAGCTCGTATTTTTAGTTCATGTTGTTTTCGGTGAAAGGTGTGAATAATGTCCTTATTAAGGAGGACTGTGGGAGAGGTTCATCTTTCTAAATGTCAGAGCTGAACTCAGTTTAACTCCTGTTGACGTCTCACACACCTCTGAGTCACATTGAAGACACAGATACACATTCGCAGGTTTTTAGATCCAAACAGCATCTGCTGGAGTGAAGTGAGGCCACAGAGACTTGAAGATACAAATAATTCCACTGTGATGTTAAAAAACTTTATCTGTGTGAACCTAAATTTCATAATTTTTAACAAGCCCCCACAACCAGGATGGAATCTAAAATATTCACCCCCAGTCACCACTGGATAATTGGATCTCCTCTTACCTGGCCTAATGATCATGGTATCTCACTCTAAACTCATAACCAGAGGCCTGTACTACGAAGCTGGATTAACACATCCAGGATAGCTCTGGGACAACTCGCTCAACTTCACCGGATCTCCGCGATCCCGATCAGCTGTACTACAAAGCCGGTTATCAACTTGATAACTGAATCCAGGTGTGGCCACTTCAGATCTGTGCGTGCACACGTAAAAGGGGCGGGGTTAGTGGCACTGGACCATTTTCCACAATGGACAAAACGGCGAGAGCATCGTATTTCACAGCTGAGGAACAGGATATTATCCTGCGTGAATACGAAGAGTTCCGTGATACAATCACAGCGACGAGCAACATGGCAACAAAGCCAGAGGGACTGCTGGCAAAAAATCGCCGATTGTGTTAATGCGTAAGTCACTACAATGAAGATATTAATGTGTTATCACAATGGCACGAATAGATGTCGCTACATTTGTGCATTCATTAATTTATGGTCCCCAAATGTGTTGTCATTCAGTGTTTGATCACCATCATCATCATCGATCTCATAATTTTAGATGCAGCAGCAGTGGGGAGAAAAGGAATGTGGCAGCAAATTCGAAATAAATATAAAAACATCCTTCAGAGTGGTCAGTAGGTTTACTGGCAGATTGTATTTGTACATACAGTATCTGTACACAGCGATTTCCTCACAATGTCTCAGCTGTAGGATGATGATAAACGAGGTCCTGTGATATTATTTGCAGCCCATAAGAAAAAATGTGCAGCCAAAAAAAAACGGGGTAGGGCCAGCTCCAGAGGACTTCACTCCGGCTGAGAAGCTGGCCCTCTCCTTAAACAGGGGTCGCCCAGCCACTGAGGGCATTGAGGGTGGCGTGACATCTGACCTTGGTAGAGGTAGCAGCTCACAGAGCTCCTGCTTTGTACAGGGTACGTTTCAGTGAGGCAATGGCAAACCACTGACTTGCTCAAAAAGCACAGAGTTGTTTGTGAAAAGGTGACTGCTAACGTTCTAAAGTTTCCCCCCAGTGGACGGTGACACACTGGCTGTCACGCTGCTACCTCCACCCAAGCAAACATTGCACCGTTCAGAGGTAACGGCAAATTCAACCAGTCATTCATATAATTCACCTGTGGCTGCTGATGATTCCTTCACCCAACAAAACCTTTGTCATCTCTAATGTAGGCGGAGGTCATTGATGACAAGACTCTCTCAGCCTGCTCAGAGAGACCGTGGCCGGTACAACTTAGTCATTGTTCTTTTCTAAAGTGGTTCTCATTGTGGCAGTTATTTATCAATGGCAAATTCCACAGGTGATGGGGTCTGCTGCTGGGAATAATAAGTGTGCTCACATGCTCTCTCATCCTGTTACTCAATTTCAATTGTTCTTATTTCACAGGAAGAGGCAAACCCAGCTGCCCCTGAGCCAGTGGCCTCCACCTCTAGACCAGCCAGGACAAGGGAATCACAAAATTTAATCCATTTTCACATGAACCAAAGTTTTATAGGCACATTTTCAAGCACACAATGTAAAGAGGGAAATGCTTAGACATTGAAGCAACTGCATGTGTTTGATTTCAGCCCGGGGCCGACACAGTAAGGGCGCTGTACAAACGACAGCTGGAAGAGGACATAGAGTGCAAAGTACTCCATAAGAAAGTATTCAAACTCCAACTCAAAAAATTGA